CTCATAAAAGAAAGAATAGATAAAGATTAGTTTCCCATAAATGAATGAATAGAAAAGGTCATGACGTGAGCCTTTTTGAGTCATTTTCTCTATAAAATGAGCTATTTTTAGAGAGAAAAAGTGTGCTCTATTGGGTTACCAACCTAGAGAGAGAAGGTGTGTCCTATTTGGGTCGCCAACCACCAATGGGAATAGTAGTTCCTCTAGAGAGAGAGAGAGATGGAGCCTCCTAGAGAGAGAGGGAGATGGAACCTCTTGTGCATAGGATGTAATTTCATGTTAAAGAGAAGTGAACTTCCAATGAAGTAATTTCTTCTTAAAAAAAAAGAGAACTTCCTATGAAGAGAAAAAGTGATGATGCCTCTTGAAGACCGCAAAGTAAGTGGTTGGTTTATTGTAGAAAAGCGGTTCGATTTTAGGTGGTTTTCTCACGCTGGTTTCTTGTAGACAAGCAGTTGCTATAGAGATTTTGGATTGTTTCCCCTTGAGATAAAGTCTCGTTGATTGGCTAGTAGTCGTTTGCTTTCAAAGTTGTACTTAGATATTTTGTCAAAATTTGTTCCAAAGTTTTTTATGTAACTTTCAATTGGTATAGTGGATTTCTGTTTGCCATGCCCTAACCCCTTTAAGTGAACCACGATTTGTTTGATTTGGATATTTTACCAAGGTTTGTTCTAAAATCTTAGATATTTTGTTGATATTTGTTCCAAAATCTTTGATGTAATTTCAATTGGTATAGTGGATTTCTATTTGCCTATTGATTTGTGTTCTTGTGTTCTTGTGGTGTGTATTTCATATTTTATTTCTCGTACGTTATTTGCCAAAAAAATCAACCTATCGGGTTTAAAGCTTCCACGCGCAACAAGTGGTATTAGAACTTGTGGTATTAAAACACAACGTTTAGAGCTTCCACGCACAAGAAGTGATATTAGAACACAAATGGTATCAGAACACAACAGTTTGATCACTTGCTGAATCAGTAGGGGATGAGAGGAGTACATTCTTTCCAAATTTCAGCTTGACCCATCATAGGATTTGAGAGAAATCGATGAAATAAGGCTTGGGGTCCCTGTGCTGGTTGCAATAGCAACCCCTATGTGAATAAGAAGAAAAAGATAGAAGAAAAGGGCATTAGCGGGGGCCTCGCTTAAATCTTCAATATCCAAAATCATAAAAAATGACTTTTTAAGATCTTGAATATCCAAAATAGTAGCAACTTGAGAATAAAAAAGCTTCACCTCAATAGATGCCTGTACAAGTGTGGCCCATCAAAAATATAGTTGGATCCAAAAGTATAGTCGGATGTTTGACACTAACGTATAAATCACTTATGAGAAAAAAAAAAGAAATTTGATCCTAACAAAGTAACTACGTGGTCTAGCACACCAAAAATTCGTGGGATGTTTTCTTTTTCTCGTGAAAGCTTTTTATTGATTGTAAAGGAAAAATAAAGATTGTAAAGGAAGAATAAAAAAGAAACTTGATCTGAATTTCCCCTCTGAGAATGAGGTTGATCAATTTGGCTTCCATTCCCCTCTGAGAATGAGGTTGATCAATTTGGCTTCCATTCCCCTCTGAGAATGAGGTTATCAGCGTTCATGGAGAGGGGACAAGGTTTAGTCCCTGACTCCTTTCTCTCTCCTCCAATTTTCTCTCTTTTTTCTCTTGTTTCTTTGTTTTAGTTGTTCAGCAGTCATCCTTGACGACCTTTGTTTTAGTAGTTCAGCAGTCGTCCTTGACAGGTCATCAAGGTTCATGGAGGGTAAGGCTCACCTCCCTTGAGTCCCACTCTCCGATTTTCTTAAGGTTCACGTAGGGTAAGGTTCACCTCCCTTGAGTCCCACTCTCCAATTTTCTTTTTTTTTCCTTTTTTTTTTGAGTATTTCGGACTAATCATTGAGGTAGTTCAGCAGTAAGAATCAAATTTGAGATATAATATTGTTCAACTCAACTGCTAACGACTCAAGCTCAAGCTCGATTCCTACTCTCTCCTCCAACTGATTCTATAATTCAATAATTTCGCGAATTATATATATGTATATATAGCATGCTTTCCTGGAACCTGAATGGTACTACCAAACCACTAATTATAGAATTTCCATCCCCTTTACATATCAGAACCCAAAAGGCCAAACCGAATGACATGTAAGAAGTAAATCAAATGCAAGCACAGTAAATGTACAATGCGGCTAGAAAACATTGGCCAAAGACACCAAATCAAAGAGACGGAGAAAAAGAGTGGAATATTCCCTTACAGGTTATCAGGCAACTGGAAGTGTTGAGAACCAAAGCTTTGAAGGGAACTATTTTGAACAAAAACAACAACTCCGCATTTGTTACTGCTGAATCCATCCCAGAGAGAGAAGGTGATTGATCCATTCACATTCTTCTTCGCTGAAATGTCACGAACAGTGCACAATTTCTCCAATTTCCTCACCACAAAGTCATTAGTGAGGACACGACCTTTGTTCTCACCTTTTGAGCAATCGGTTACGACGTTGCTTTCGTAGAGAGCAGCCATCACATCCATGCCCTTTGAGTCAACCTTCGATCGCAATGGACCAGCCAAGGACACTTGCAGTGTGTCCTGAGATGGCCTTTGAAAAGTTGCCTGCTTGATTTGAAGAAAAACCAATTTGGGTCACAGATTTTATTGTTTTCTGATAGATGATACATAGAGGAAGGTTTGGTCACAAAAAGGAGATATTTTCATGTAAGAGAGGGGAATAGGTGAGACAAGCAATCAGGAGTGGAAATCCAGACCTTCGACCGTAGTGAACTACATGTAATTTTATAAAAAATGTAATGGAAGAGAACCATGGGTTCTTGGAAGTTATGTCAAATTTTCAAGGAAATTCAGAGAGACAAGATGGCCAAGAAAACCAACTAAAGAACAGGAGATTACAAAATGTACAAACATAGAGGAAAGATGAGAATGGATTCACATAATTCATCATCATTATGATGCTTATGAATGACAAGGAAATCTCTTTTTACTAGGGAATCATTCAATGAATCGATAGTACATGCAATTTGATGAGAATATTTTTCAAGAAATTTATAGTTTATTTATCAAGGAAAGAGAAAGTATGATGAATAAAGCTAAATGGGATACAACAGATGATAAGTTGAAATATTGATCTGAGAAATTGATAAATTTATCAAATAATATCCAGAAAGCTGGAATCTCTCCCATTTTCTCTTCAATCTAAATCCTCCCTCAAAATAAACCTAAACCTAAACCTAAACCTAAACCTAAACCTAAACCTAAACCAAAACCAAAACCAAAACAAATTTAGAAAACCATCTCCAAAAGTGGGAATCACCCTCTGTAGGAATTGGGCCTACCTTTAGAATGAGGGTAAAAACCCTCCCTGCCCTTGCTCGTTTTTTCATGTAACCCTTGCCATATGATTTATGATCGAAGGGCTACAAAGATATCACCTGTATTCCAAATATAGTATTGACTTCTACAAAATCATTGCCTTTAATTTCAAATTGCGACAGATGAATAGCCCATTGAATTAATCAGAGATGCATCTTAGACTCATGAAATGGACAGTCCAGATATGTTTTCATCAAAATAATCCTCATAATTTTGTTTAGACGGTTTTGAGAATGAGAGAATTTTTAGACCAAATTTCATCTTAAGAGATTTGTCTAAATAAGCGAATGGACGGTCCAGATATGTTTTCATCAAAATAATCCTCAGAACCTTGTTTAGATAGTTTTGAGAATGAAAAAAATTTTAGGCCAAATTTCATCTTAATATATGTTTAAACGAGCACGAAAGCCATTGTACTAACCCACATCCGATGTCTTGCAAAATGCATCCATTTTCTTACAAGAAGCAACGGCCATTTTCTTACAAGAAGCAACGGCTAGCTTAAAGTGTGTCAAAACAAAGAAACAGGTTCGCATCAATGAATCAAATCACAATGCTATCAAATCAAACAGAAAAGAGGGAGAGAAGGAGAAAGAGAGGAATTCCATAGAAAAGCAGAACCAAATGGTAAGAGAGAGTAGTAATCAAAGCAAAGGATCCGATCTACAGAGAGAAAGAAACAAACCAACCTGCATATTAGGCCCAGGAAACCTAGCTGCCGATCTGATCTCTGATAAAAGCTCCTGCTCCTTCGTGCCGAGACATTGAGACCTCCCCTGCACCACAACCTGAGGAGTGTATATACTATCCATCCTCAATGCCTCAACATAAGCCTTCTGTCTAACGCTCCAGAGACTGGAACCATAGGGATCCTTCCAACCCAAATAATCCCAATACTCAACGTGATAAGCCAGCACAATAACGGGAACCTCATTCTGAAGATCTCCTCTCCCTAACCTCGAAATCAAGAGCTCCGCTTCAGGAGAGGTGGCGCAGCCTTGCGAAGTGAAGAGCTCAACAAGAACATGGCCTCCTCCTTTCTTTTGGTCGTCAGAGGAATCTCCGGCGGGGGCGCCTCCCGTCGTGTGCACTTTGGCAGCGTTTTCCGGCAAATCGTCGCCGTGGCTGCCGCCGTAGAAGCACCTAAAGAAGCGCGGCGCCATCGCCGGCGACAGGAGATTTCCGGGCTGTGTTTCCTTCTCTCTCCCGCTCTTATCAGGCGGTTTGTTGTGTCAGGGGAAAGGTGCAAAGAGGTGCGCGTTAAGCGGTTTAAAAAGGGTCGAATTTTGGGCGGTGCATGGAGTCGTATTCATTTTTAGAAAGGTCACGGTTTCTGCGCTTATTATTCTAAAAGATCATAATTAAATTTCGCATAGATTTATAGAGATTAGAAGTCCACACCAAGATGATAACTGTTTTTGTGATAAATTTAGTGGTGGTCTCGGTTAAATCTCACACCCATATGCACGTTGGTGGGGGAAGGTGATCATTATTCATTTTTTAAATATAATTTCATTCTAAATTTTACAAAATATATTATTTAATATGAGGGCATAAAAAAATATATATGAAAACTAAAACTATTAATTATATTAAAAAGACATTCAAACGGTTAGTTACACTTATTTTTTAAATGGACCACCTATTTGCATCTATTTTTTATATGGATCTTTTATATCTCTGGACCGTATATTATTGAAATGCGGTCCAATCTGCATGAAACAATTTTCTTTTTAAAAATGACTAAAGAACAACCGTTTCATGTAGGCTGAACTGCATTTATATAATATATGATCCCGAAAACTAAAGCTTTTATCTTAAAGATGGATGTAAATAGGTCGTCCATCTAAAAACAATTTTAACTAACGATTCCAATGTTTACTTAATATCATTATTTTTTTATTTTTTAATATTTATTTGTTTTTATATTTATAATTATTATATTAAAAATTATATATTCTCTAAAAATTAAGATCAAATTATATTTAAAAAATACATTTATTGCCAAGCCCTCATATCTACAGTGCAGAGGACATCCGCATGCTAACCGCGTCCATGACTAAAATGCCCATATTTCACTATCTTGGTAACCCAAAAGTTGAGAGTTTCAATCTCCATCATTAATCTTTCTTAAAAGAAATAAAATAAATTTTGTGTAGCTGGCAGGTGAAGACCATTTGAGAAATGGGGGATTTGATGAAGTGAGAGTAAACTTTTCATTATCAAGAGTAACATACGATAGCTAGAGGGCTCTTATTTTGTTTCTTAGCGATTAGGACAACCATCCCTAATTAATAAAAGAAAAAGTTTATATAAGTTTGTAACCTAAAATGTAGAATTACATATGCACCAAAAAAATCCATTAGAAAATGTTGCTTTAATGTTGAAAAAAACCTCTAATTGATCATCTTGACATCCAAATGTATGAATATGAAATAAAAAAGAAATTTTGAGTCTAAAAAATAGTGCATTTTGCAATACATTATCTAGACTGTATATTTTCAAGATTTTCATATGTTTACAGATCTGCTTGATTTTAACCATTTTTAGAGTTTAAAATTTTATAATTAGATATAAAAATAGATTTTTAGGTAATCATAAGATTTTTTTTCGTCAAAATACATGTTATGATAAAATTTGAAGGTGTGCTTTAAGTGGATTGTTTAAGGTTATAACCTTATAGAAACCACACCCATTAATAAATTCATAATCCATGCATAATTATTTAAGTAATCTAACCACAAAAACTATCTAATTGGAAACCTTATCAATATGGCATGTACATTGTCTATGGAAGATATGTCATAAAGAGTGAGGTTTGTAGAAGGTGTTCATTTAACTATAAAGTAAGGTGTAATTAACTTTCGAAAAAAAAAAGGCATAACTTTTAATGTTGTTAGAAGATGTAGTTTTGATGTCAAAATTTTTAAGATGGATTAAACCATATTCAATTTTAATTATGAAATTTGAAATTTTAAAAATAATATAAATCAAACAAATATATGAATACTTAAAAATATTAAAAACAGGCCTCACAGATAAATTGTTGTGAGATGTATAATTTTTTGTTGCTTTAAAAATATTCATAGCTCTCAAGGTTGAGATAATTAATTCAAGACTTTCGAACGTTGGCTTCTTTTCTGCAAGATTCTTGATGTGAACTTTACTTTTGCACTACAAAGTTACAGCGTTATATAAACGTTTTCTTCTAGAAAAGTCTAAACCTGTCATCTATAAATAAATAACGAGGGGAAATATTTTGTTACGGCGTTTTGGCCACCGCAACTTTTAACTTTTCTAAAGTAGGTATTCTGTCGGTTCGCGACGACACGTGTCGATGGCAAATGGGGCAGGTGAAATGCGGTCCCCTGACCTACTGTTTGCGGGTGATCTGTGCCCGTCCGGTTGGTTGACGGAAGCCACCTGCCTCAATGTCCAAACTTTGACAAATTTACCCCTTTCTTTTCAGCATTGACGATGTAAAGTTTGTTAGAAATCCCACGTGGGAACTCCCATCGACTGTCTCCCAGGTATGGACTATCCTGATGACCATTGAAGAGTATAATTGCAACGCCTTTGTCAAACATCATTCACCACGTTAGTTTAGATTCTAAAGCTTGCGTAGCGGCTTTTCTCGGTTCAGGGGAAGATTTTGATGTATCAATTATTAGAGTGGGTCTCCAAGTATCATCGGTCCATTGCACCTGGCACAACAATAATAGTTTTATAGGAGGGTGAGGGTGAGGAATTTCTTTTTTTTTTTTTTTGGGTAAATTAGTAGGGATTTGGTCCCCACCGATTTTTTATTAATAAAAAAATAAACAATGGTACACAAGGTTTAAAAAAATGGATCGTCCTCACCCACACCTGTGTCGGAATGCGGCACGCTCGAACGGTTGATCGGAGTGTTAAATCGGAGAATCAGACGAATCAGCAAATTTTGTCACAAATTTTTTTCATAAAATCACATATAAATATCTAAAAATAGTGTTATTTTAGTTTACAAAAGAAATTAAGAGTGACGCATTATGTATTTTAATTACTTTGTAAAAAAAAAAAAGTTTATATAAGGTCGCAACCTTTTATGTAGAACTACAGATGCTCCTAAAAAATCCGTCGAAAAAAGTAGTTTTAATTTTGAAAACCCTTTGATTGATCATCTCGACATCTAGATGTATGATTATGAAAAATAAAAAGATTTAAGTCTTAGAAATATTACATTTTACAACATATTATCTACACTATCCATTTTCAAGATGTTCATATGTTTATAGATCTACGTGATTTTAACCATATTTGAAATTTTAAATTTTATTATTAGATATAAAAATAGATTTTGAGATAATCCTAAGAACATTTTACTCAAAATTATATACCATGATAAAATTTGAAGGTGCACCTTACCTCTACAACTACGGATGCATTTGTATGCTAACTGCACCCTTTCAAAAATAGGTGAATACTGAGACGTTGTTTTTTTTGTTTGGATGTACATTTTATTTATATATCAAGAATGTACATTTCATTACATTAAAAAATTTGACGATAAAATTGAAGAATACAAGTTTTCTTCCCATGATAATTATAAATTCATGATATAGAATTGAATACAATTACAAGAAAATCAAACAAAAATATAATCTTATATTGAGAGAAACAAGAACATATATTTGTCAAAAATCCTTAAATTTATTAAGTAAAAAAAATTAATTATGAATTATGTTTCAAGAACACACACATATATATGGCACAAGTTTATATAGAGCTGAGGCTCTAAACAATCAAATTTGATCCTATCTCAAAAATTTCACTAGAACAGGTTGTTTTGATGTTCAAATATCTTCAAATTTATCATCTCGACATCAAGAAGCATGGACATGAGAAAAAACTAGATTTCAAGTTTTGGAAATAATGTATTTTATAACACAGTTTTGGACTGTCAATTTTCAAGATTTTCATGTTTTCATAGATCTGTCGATCTACACTATTTTTGAAGCTTTAAACTTTATAAATATATATAAAAATATATTTTAAAGCTATCATAGAGATTTCCAATATTGAAAATTGAAAAATACAAGTTCTTTTCTTATGATATTCATACCATAGAATTGACTATAATTACATGAAATTCGACAAAAAATGTATTATTATATTGTGTGTATCAAGAACATATATTTGTTAAAATTCCCTATTTTAATTAGCAAATTAATTTAAAATAATTACTCTATGTATCTTACAAAATCAACCTAGAAATCATGTTCAATGATGCGATTTAACTTTATGATCTAATGAACAAATCTCAAAATTTACAAAAAAATGGATCAAAATGAAGGTTATAATAAACAAAAATGGCGGATGAACCCTAAATTGTAGTGCAAACCACACAACATTTTAAAAAATCATATAAATAAACGAATGATAAATAATGATACTGCTGGATACACAAATTGAAACAATTAGGATCAAGATACATACCTCAATTGGATTTGAATAGATTTATAATGATAAAAAATTAGGGTTTTCAAGATGATGTGAAACAATCATGATTTATTGAAAAATCAACCTACAAACCTCACTTAATCACACAAGTAACAACCACAATCATACGAACAATACCATTATCTTCAAAACCTCTATGATATCAAAATTTTGCTTGAAATCAATAATTTGGCGGATAAAATAAAACCCGTGAGCTGTTTTTCAAAAAACAGTGTCAGAAATCGATTTCTTCAAAAATCGAGCAACAAAACTTGCTTAATCACAAAAACACGATCCACAATCTTTAATGAGAGTATGATAGGATTTAGGCCTCAAAAGGCCAAGTAGGAGAATTTTGGGTATATGGCCTTTCAAGACCTGAATTTTTAATTTGAATTTCAAAAATATCTTCGCACATGTGTGAAGGGGGCATTAGGCTCATTGTGGTTGATTTGAAATATTAGATCTATAAGGTGATTGGCTTTCATAAAGGTGTATTTTTTCACATGTGAGAGTTTTACCATTTATTTTGTTGCCCATTACCCTTGATGGATCTCTACACTTTTTAATTATTTAAAACTAAGGGCTAGTTGGATTCATTTGGAATTAAAATATAGACCTAAGTACAAAATGGTAAAGTTGTATTACTTAGGGTTTAATATGGGTGACAAGGGTGTTAAATCCCATCATTTCATCCTAGTGGTTGGTTGGAGATGGATGGCTCGGATATATTAACCTCTCATGTGCCGTTGGATAGGTACATCAAGGTTGTTGATGATATCTAATC